TTTGTGGAAGTGGTTCCAGAGCACGCCGTCGCGTTGTGAATGAAAAGGAAAGCAGAAAAGCGCAAAAGGAGGCAAGGAAAGACCGGGTGAGATACTACAGTTTTTAGCCTTCGCGGGCATTCACAAATTGTGGGCAAACGTTCAGTACGCTATAGAAGCGTTGTACTGAGCACGCGATGTGATGCAGAATGGGTCAGAGACTCCAGATGTTCATTTCTTTCGAATGCCCTTAACAGCGAAGCACGAGATCTTGTGTTGTTTATTTGTTTTCGAACCTCTCTAAACAACTGCTTTCAGAAGAAATATCCCTGCTTTATCCTCGTTGTTGAATTTTAGTCTCATCTGCAAGTTTACATGTTTGAACAGCCAAATCTTTCTTCATATGTCACCACTTGCCAAATCAAAAACAGTACCGGAATCCAAAAATCTCCCCGTTCGTGGGAGCATATCTTCTCCTTAACCCGCTACATGAGGAAATTTCTCGTTGTGCTCTCTTTGTGAACAGTTTCAGACGAAGCGAGAAACCCATTCTTCCCGATTAACATTCTAATTTGTCCAGAACCCGCGTCCCACTTCTTCCGGAGCAACACCATTTTCAAACTGCCGAGAGCCAAGTAAGCTTCTAGAACGTATTTTCGTCACAGTTACTCGGGAATATCTTATTCGGCCTAGGTTGACGTTAGGTCTCCGCCATGCTTCTGATACCCACACAGAGTGTTAAGAAGATGCAACTTCTCCGAGCCAACGAGGGTTTCCCTGTGCCAACAGATCTGTTCCAACAGCTCAGAAAAGTTCGGGCGTACTGTGTTTTGTTTGCTTATCAAAGCATGGCGTCATTGTGGACGACCAACTTATTGTCACCGCCTGCTCCCCATTTCCGAGCTTGCAGCCTACCTCTGTCTTCATATGTCTCTCTTTCTTCGTTCTTCACAACAGGACGTTCTTCACAACAGGAACCATGAGTGAATTTTTTATCATTTCTAAACCTAGTGACTAGCGCCGGTGTCGGGGGAACAAACCACAACGGGCGCTGCTCGTGCAGCACACAGGCAGATAAGCAATAAACAGTAAGACGGGAGCAACCGATTATGCACGATGGGACGAGGTGATAATAAGAAAATAGACGTCATGTAAAAACATGGTTTGATTCAAAGAAAAGGAAAATTGTTGCTGATTTATCTTCCCAGAAAGAACTGAACAAAAACATGAGTTCCTTGAAAACCGTCTACATTTGATGCCGTAGGTCGAAGACTTTTGGAAAGCGCGCTAACTCTGGCGGAGAGGTATTTGCTGTCCAACTTATTCATGCGTTTTTAGCACTGCCTTCAACGAATCATGGTCTCGGTGAAGATCCATGCACGCTCGGAATCGAGCATACTCCTGAGGGAGAAACCATGCGGGATGAGATCCATAGAAGGTATGGGTCATTGTTCAGATGCGGTAGTCTGAAGTATCTTCACCACTCCTGAGCAACTTTGGCCTGCTGGCAAGGGCAGCGACTACTGACAGTATCATTCACCAGTACGCCGTAGCGGGTACTCCGGCCAAAACCATCGATGGTTTGGCTCACCACCGCCGCATCCGGTCTCAGCCTTGGTGAATACTATCGTTTTGTTTAAGCGTTGCTCGAAACAAAAACCGTCTCGTCTGTATGGAGGATGCTTTTGAACTTATCGCTACGGGTGAGAATTCTTTTCTCTTTTCCTGTGTCATCGGAGAAGACTTGTACCGTGCTAATTGGGGTAGAGATTTATAGTGAATCGAATAAAGACTGAATTAAAGGTTTTTTGCACATGAAGAGCGTTTTTCTTTTGCGGTCGAAGAGCAATCCAGCGCTTATCTCTATAGTTCTGCCGCATTCATTACATAGTAGCATGGGATTACAACTTTTCAAACATTCCCCACTTTTCATCTTGATGGTCTTCGTCAGGCATGTTGGGGAGAAGTAAATTCCTGACACTATTCCGATTTCTGATGCCGACTATTGGAGTAAATCGATGTCCATGATCAGTGATCATAATCGCACCATCGCACGACACGGCCCGTTAATGCAGTAGTAAAAGGAAGCCAATCCGTGGCCTCCTGAACCGCATGGAGTCACTGAATATTCAGACGACATTCCACTTCATGCAGCAGAGACTGAAAGAGCTTAAACACTTATGATCTTGATCGTCTTAGCACTTTGAAGGTCATGCTCCAGGCGGTTTCTGCTCAAAAATATACCGTTACGGTGTTTAAAACAATTCAATGACCGGTGTAAATAAAGTTGAATCTGCTTTGACGTGATGAACTTCATTTCAACAGCGCTCAGTCTGGCTCGTTCAGCTTTGGCAAAGTGTTTTGAAAAGGTTGCCCATACTCTCGTTTTTGATGTGATTTCATGGCTCGTTGTAATTGCGCAAATCTGTTTTCTTTTTTCAGATGAGATGGAGTACGAATATTCGGGCAGTGACGATGAGGAACCAAATCCCATAGAGCCGTCTTCTCATCGCGACGGTTCTCCTTATATATATATTTTTTTATTATTTAAAGTTTGTTCATGATTCAAATCTTCTGTTGCCGACCATGATCAAAGAAAGGTACAAATCTTCTATGTTCGCCAACCAAAACTCGTTATTTTGAATTTTTCCGTTTACAAACGTTTTGATGCTCGCGAAACAGACTCGTTCAGAATGTAGACTTTTTGAAAAGGGTTGTTTGCACCACGTATGGATGCACATGAACTAGCAAATGAGGCAATTTTTTTCTGCATGGTTTTTCAAATGTAAAAAGAAAAAAGTGAAAAAAGAGAAAATGTTTCCAAAGAAACGGCAGTTCAAACCGATTTGGTGTATCTGTGCCTCATTTGTAGTCCGAAAGAGTTTCGTGAAATATAAGTGGAAAAGGCGTCATTGTAACGAATATAATAACTTCTTCCTCGGTGTTTATTCGACATACAAGTTCTGTCACTGAGATACTCACCAGTGCTGCGATGGTGGTTGGACCGCAAGGAGGCTGGGGAGGCTCTCATTGACACGCAAAGTTCAGGGTTCCAATTAAATGGTTCTCCTTTCCGCCCTTGATAATGGGATTTCTGCATTTCACGAACCTCCTTTTTCATGCGTTCCTACGTATGAGGTTGCCCCAAAACCTCGTGACATTTTTTCAAATCTCGTATCAAATATTTCCGCAGCTATTTCAAGATCAATTTATGCTGAATGGTCAGTGTATTAAGTAAGCTTGCCAAAGTTGCTTTACCGTCCCTGGCAGTTGCTGTTCTTATCAAAACGGTAAATGAAATTCATCATTTCCGACACACTTCGATATACCTCCACCAAGTCACAACGTGGTTGAAGTTACAATTTCATCTGCTTTAACTTAAGTCCTGATGCTACATTCCATAGTGCGGCATTGGAATGGCCCGATCGCTTTCGCTTAAAGGCAGTTGGCACGATAAATCCCTGAGAAAAGTAGGACTGATACCGCCTGGCAGGACGGAATCCCGCGACGGCCCTATCAGTCTACACATACCGACCCGAACCCCCACCACACCCTCCCGTCTACAAATGGACGACCGTACCTGATGCTCGTATTGCTTTAATTCAAAATATGAAGCGAAGGGATTGGTATGAAGCGGCTGCGGTGCTGCATGGATATATGAGTACATACATGCAGCCGTACCCACCGTAGCGGTTATTGGCAGGACCTCTATGAAAAGACTCGTTCAAAGTTGCTTTTCGAGTATTAAGAACGGGTTTTTCTTCGCAGGTTTTTGACCGTTTCACTTCGTTTTTTGCCATTTTCCCCACTATATGGCGCCCTGCTAGCATTTTAGGCCAATTACCAAAATATCGTGCAAACTGTCTTCGAGTGACTTCTACTTGGGAGACAAACCTCGTTGAGAGAGACCATCTGCCTTGGATTTAGACCTACTGCGTTCCTTGATTAAAACCATTTCGTACGAATCAACTCGCTATCTAGTCCTTACACTTGACTGTTCCAAAAGCACAAATGACAGAGGTCTTCACGCCTCAAGAAAGTGTTGCAGTTTGGTCAAAAATTTTCTCACGAGCTGACCGATAATCAAGGGGAGGGCATGTGGGTACTGTCTACAACTTCTCTCCCGCTCCCGCCATACAGACTGGTTGAACAACGACTGTGACTGGATAAGGAGCAGGTGTCCTGGGTGAACCACTCCCGGAAGCGCCAGTGGCTAGATCCTCCAGGAAGGGCAGAACCGGTCGTGCAATCCCATCAATACAGTAGGAAGGTGATACTGTGCGTGTGGTGAACCATTCATGGGTTTACCGCAGGGAGCTTCTTCCTCTCAACGCTACGGTAACCAGTGAGTCCTCCTGTAATCAACTGCGAAGGGGAGATGAAGTTCATTCCACCATTCGGTCCCACAACACAGCAGTGTCTAAAATGACACTGCTCGAGATCTTGAGCTTAACTTGGGAATTCCACCACCAGCCGTTGTGTGCCTCTGACTTAGGGTTCTTTCTGGCTGCCGTTCAAACCACTCACTAAGCGGCTACCTTCTAAATTAAAAATACGATTTTTAAAAGCACCTCAGAAATGACCCGGCTGCCTTTCTCGACACGGAATTAAAAAGCTTCTGGAAGCAAGGCAACCATCTTTGCTTGGTGGTTGGCAACAAGTTGCCGATATACAGGGGGGGGGGGCAAAAAAAAGTCACTTTGCTTCATTGACTTTCGAGGCGCTATAAGTTACACTTTATAATTCTGATCGGACATTTCTACCACCATATTAAAGAGCATATTAAATACTATGGTTGTTGCATAAGTTCTTATACACGACTTTTTTGTAAATATCTCAAAAACGAACCAGCCTGGAGATTAGAGGTATGCACCATCACCATTCACTACTCGACGCCAGCGCTCAGGCAGCTTGTCGATTCCATCCTTCCAGAACGACGGAGGCTGGGACTTGAAGAAGTCGTCGAGCGCCTTTCTGACCTGATCCTTTGTTTCGAACTTTTTTCCGTCCAGATAGCGCTGCAGGTGGCTGAACAGCCAGTAGTCAGAAGGAGCGAGGTCAGGGCTGTAGGGAGGGTGGGCGACCATCAGCCATCCGTACTTCTCCAGCTCGGCCTGGGTCGCCTTTGCAGTGTGAGGTCGGGCGTTGTCATGGTGGAAGTAGATTTCCGCATTCCTTCCACGAGTACGGTCGACGTGATCTTTCAATTTCCGCAGCTGGGTCACGTATGTGGAAGCGTCAATCGTCTGTCCCTTCTCCAGCAGCTCCCAGTACTCCATGCCTCTTCTGGACCACCAACAGGACAGGAGAACCTTCTTGGGGTGAAGGTCGGCCTTTGGGGTGGCTTCTGGCTGTTCTCCTTTGTCGACCCACTGCCGCTTCCTCACAGGGTTATCGTAGAGGACCCACTTCTCATCTCCAGTGATCATCGAGTTGAGAAAGTGAAGCCTCTTTTGGAAAGTGAGGAGAGAAGTGCAGGTGGTCACCCTCCTCGAGAGGTCATAAGCGGACAGTTCATGTGGGACCCATCGACCAAGCTTTGCTACCTTGCCGAGCTTTTCTAGTCCACGTGCAACCGTCGAATGATCATAGCTAAGCATGGTCGCCATTTCTCTGGTGGTGAGGTACGGGTCCTCCTCCACGGTGGAACGTAGTACTTCCAAATCCAACTCCATCGGCCGACCCGACCTCGGAGCATCTTCGAGAGAAAAGTCTCCTTTCTTGAATTTGGCGAACCAATTCTTGCATGTCATGTAAGAGATGACGTCCTCACCGTATGTATCCACCAGCTTGGTATGGGCTTCCTTTGCATTCCAGCCGAAATCGTGGAGCAAAACCAAACAGTGGCGCAGGTACGTTTTGTCACAGTGCAAATTGTGCGACATTGTGTACTGCAAATGCAAGCTCGGTGAGTGATAGCTAGTGTAATGAAAGAGTATAATGTACACGTCACGCACACGTGATGACGTAATACCAACATCCATGCGAACGAAATAGGAGAGGATCAAACACGTGTATAAGAACTTATGCAACAACCTAATATGACACTCCGCCGCCTTCTGGAGGAGCGCCATCGAGAGATTCTGGCACGCAACCGCGATGTGGTGCCTGAGATCAGCGAGATAGTCGATTTCTCCGCCACCGTAGACCACCCTATTGAACTCCGCCCGAACCGGGTAATTGAGGGGATTCAGGTCAGGTGACCTACTTGGATATTCCATCTTCTTTAGGTACTCAGCCCCCTTCCATTCCAAGTAGGCGAGAGTTTCTCCAACGCCCTTCGATTCCACGTGGTGGCACCCAATGCTGTAGCAGTACAAAGTTTCCAAGAAGGTACGGGCGACGACATGTGGGGAAGATATTCTTCTTGAGTTGCTCGATGTAACCGCCAGCGCTCAGCTTCAGCCCGGGGTCCACGAAGAAAATATTGGTCTTTCCATTCCAGGTGCGTCCGGTCCATACCATCAACCCGCGCCTTGGCGACTGCGGTGAAGATGATGTCCTAGACCGTAGCGACGTTGTCGGAGCTGCTCGATGTTGGAGGTCTTCCAGATTGAGAGTACTGGTCTCCAGGTAGCTACCCATGGGTGACTCCATACTAGAAGTTTCGCAGCTGTTTGGAGGTGACATGAATTCCAAAGGTCTTCTCCAGTCAGGCTGCGACTGGAGATGACCTCATATTTTGGTGTACATGAAGGTGATGGGCGAGGGCCAGCTCCTGCTTATCGAGGAACATCTTGGGTATCTTCCGCCCTGGTACTCGTATCCACGTCTTCTCTCTGGGCTGCGAAAACTTTGCTGATATGTGACTCGGTCGAAGTGACTTTTTTTGGCCTCCCCCTATATATGCTCAACGGCTGACGCCGGCGCGCCTCTTTCCGTATACGGCCTGGCTTCGCCGAGCATGCGCGGCTTTGCCGCGCTTATCCTCTACACTGGATGCTCAACAATTATCCGGCTTTTATTTCACCTGTACACATAGTCAACGCTCCTTGAGCAATAACATCATACCTACTATTTTCGACACTATTACCGTCTATGAAATGGTGGTAAGCAGCGTTGATCAAGTGCGCAGATGAGAGAGAAACCGGGTATTAGTTGAGCATTCAAACATACGCAAGCAGGTGGGCGCGACGAAGTAAGCAAAACCGGCAAAGCCTGGCCCTATTAGAAAAGGAGTCGCGCCGGCGTCAGCCAGCGAACCGACTGGTATCAAATGTACGTGTGACAACAGGTGTTCAAGAGTGTGGCGGCCTATGCACTAAAACGCAGTGAAAGTAGGGACCCCGTGCTTGAGAACACGCTCCACCCACTGTGGGCGGGTCTCAACACACCACAGACATGCTGAACTCTCGCCATATGTTTCTCTTCACCAAAAGTTTTTCCTGATCTCCAAGCTCACTCAGATGCGAACCACGAAATTTTTCAGCAAGAGCCTGCCCATCTCGAAAGCAGCCCGCCCATTTTTGAGATGTCTCCTCCACTTCGTCCGCTGACCCCTTGTGGACCTCAATCCA